TAGAATGTAGTGAAGTTCCTATGATATAATATACATGGGAAATAAAACAATTATATTTGATTTCCAAAGGTCAACAGAAGCAAAGTATGTTTGCTTATCTGAAAAAGCCAGGAACAATGCTAATTACCTGCAAAAAAAGGGTTCCCAACATAGGGAAACTAAAATATATTGGGAGAAGAAAGATCATTGTAAAAGAAGCAGCAGCCATAGGGAGGAAGATACTGTGGACTCAAGAATTGGGAAAGATTGGGGGAAGAAGGCGGAGCCTCCTCGCTGACAGACCGTAGATCGCATCTCTCTGCGGCGATGGTCCGTGCTCTTTCGTTGGAGAGCCCCAATCATTACGATTAGGGGCTGAAGCTGCCTTGGAGGGGTGGCGGAGTAAAGGGAAGCCGCAAGCCAGGGTAAGGGGAGCCGCATCTCCCCTCCTGGGCTTGGTCTTCCCCCCCCCCCGAAGACGACTGCAGCGGTGATTTAAAATGGCCACCCTGAAGAGGAGGACTCAGCTGGATTAAAATTTGTGCAGGAGGGAAGGAAGAGGTGGATAACATCTGAACCGGGACAATTGGGCAATGCAACTAAACAAAAGTACCCTGGGATTAAGGTAACATGGAATTTTTAAGAAAAGAAAAGTGAGCAGCAAAATTACAAAGGGACAGGGAAAAAAATAAGAAAATATTTCTGACAGCTAAGCGGGGCTTCGAACCGGGAAAGGAAGAAGCTGGAACTAAAGGTTTAACTAAATTGGACTAAAATATTTTGGCAATAAACAGGCATAAAATAAAGCTGGACTTAAGATTGTCAAAAAAATAATAATAATAAAGTTTACAAATTGGAGACTGGACTGTGTTGGAATATTGAGGTTTGAAAAATCCTAAATAAAAAAATAGGGGGAAAAGGTGAAGACTTTGTATAATGGAGAGTGCCACCTTTTGACAAAAACTTAAGCTCAAACAAGGGAAAGCATCCTGTTTCTGAATGAACTTGTGTGGATATAATATTAAAGAAATATTGAAACAAAGTAAGAAACTTAGAAAGTGAAAGCAAAACTAAAATAAAGAAAAAAGCAAGGAAAGACTGACTGTGGGATTGATTGATGTTTTTGGTATAGACCCTGGGCTGGAACAATTGAGAACTTTAGAAAATTGAAAGAAGAAAGAAGGAAAGTAAAAGTGGGTTTTTTGTGGACTTTAACGATCATAAAATACAAAAGTGTGTAATGATGGTACCTCTTCGGGAATTAAAAATGGAACTTAAAAATATGAGAGAATTACTACAGGAAAAAGGCGAATCACTTTGTGCTGTGTTAGAAAAACTGGAAATGGTGATTGAAGAACAAGAAGAAAGAGCTTCAGAGGAAGAGGAGTCGACTCAAGGAGAAAACATCTTAAACAGACAATTAACACAAAGAATGCTACAAAGAAGTGGGGAAAGAAGGAAGGCTAAAAAGTTGAGACTTAAGAAGGCAATCAAAGGGGGGAATACCTGTGAAGTTGGGAAAGACAGAAAGACCCAGCAGAAAAGGGGAAAGGAAGATATTAAGAAAGAGGGATATAAACTGGAATGAGAAAAGATATGGGGAAAAGGGGGAGGAGAAGCAGTAAGAAACAGGTACATGAAATAAAGAAATAGTAAAATGTTGAAAAGAAATGGTTTTTTCAAAGATAATGGTTGATGAATTAAAAAGGGGATTCTGCAGAATGACAAGGGATAATAAGAATATTTCTGCAATTAAAAATATTTAGAAAATAGGGTAATATAGATATTGATAACTCTTATTAAAAATTAAAGGGGGAAAATATGCTGCGGAATCCAAATGAAATGATGTAATGATTATTATTGTAACTTCTTAAAAATAATGGTTTATTGGGAATCAGGATGAGGGAATAAAGGTATATTTAACCATTGAGGTGTCACACTCAAAGCAGTAAAAGGGGTGAAACCTACAGTTGTTTTTTTTCTTTAGTGTTAAAATTTGTATTGATTTAGAATTTATAAAAAGAATGTGTAATGGAAAGGGAATATGACAGACTAAAGAATCAACTAAATAAGTCATATAGACCAGTGGTCCCCAACCTTTTTTGTGCTGCAGCCCGGTACAAGCATCACAAAATCATCCGCGGCCCGGTACCAGCATCAGCACGATGGCAAGGCGAGATGAGTGACCGGCCAGCCAGCCGTCCCCCGCTTCTCCCCACCACCTTCAACTCCTCCTTTGTACCTGTGTCGATGGGCTTCCAGACGGCTTCGGGACGGTCACTCGGCTCGCCTTGCCATGCGTGCTGAAAGAATCCTCGCGCCTTAGTTTTGTTTGAAGCCGCCCCCCCCCAATGAAACTAAGGCGCGAGGATTCTTTCAGCACCCAAACGCCGCTTTCTACCTAGAAAAGCTCACCGGAAGCACTTTTTCATCAAAACAAGATGGCGGCGCCCAGCAAACCGATGGCCCGGTAGAAATTGTTCCACGGACCGGTACCGGTCCCCGGACCAGTGGTTGGGGACCCCTGATATAGACTATTAAAAGCAAGGAAAGACATTGGCAACTTATTATTATTATTATTATTATTAGGCAAACACATATTTTTTAACTTTATTTTTAAAATAAATATTAAAGGATTATATTTGAAATAATTGAAATGAAACAAAAAGATGTTTCAACTGAGATTAATGAAAGAGGCCAGAATTAATGTGTTTGTTTCTCTCCTTACTGAAAATTTGGAATGGAAAAGGTAATAATAGAATTAAGTATGCATATATGAATGTATAATTGCTGTCATATTTGTGTGTAAAGGTGATGACCCAGAAATATGTTGTCCACTAAAAAGAGATTTTTGTTTTTATGTGAAAAACTGAATAAAATTTGTTAAAAAAAAAGAATTGGGAAAGATTGTGGCGTTAGTTTTTATGCAGCAAGTACTTCTGATGAAATAAACATCCTGAAGTATTCTGAAATGAAAGCTAGCAATTATCTGCCTATATTGAAAGGATTATTTCAAATGGACAGCTCCTTGGATTGTTAGTTAAAAGCTTATGACATCTTTCCTTAATCAATGGACAACCCTCCCCACCCCGAAAAAGGTGTGAAGAAGCTGTGGGATTACTGCCAATGGTAAATCATATCTAGATTTTTTTTTGCCTGAAAAATGTGATGTTTGAGGCAAGGTGATTTACATAGGGGAAGTCTTTCTAAAAGCATGCTTAATTATAATCTGCAGCTTCCTCTGACTGTAGTTCAGATAAGATAGTAAGATATCCTTCCTCAACTGGATGATTGGGTCTTCTGGATATGTGGATTTCAACTTACTGACTTCAGAGCAAGGGAGCTGCTGGCTAGGAAATTGATACCCATTCATGTGGATGGTGCCCAAGTTGAGGAAAGCAAATATATGTGGAGATGTAGTAGTGATGGACTACAAGAGGAGATTCCTTTGCTTGAGAGACCTTGCAGATAGCAAAAAAGCATTAATAAATTGTAAAGGACAATGATAAACCTATGAGCAATCAAAAAAGGCTGGGGTAGAAGCATGTTCTGGAATAACCAGATAGGCTGGCTGACTTCACATCTCATTATTCACCACAAGTGATGGGTGAGTCTTACATAACAACATGACCTTTTAGATTATGTTGTACCTCAACATTTAGTAGAACTTCTCTCAGAAAAGAGGTTAGAGTATAACCGCACAATACACCTGTTGTCCGAGAAGTTAATTGTGTCAAAAGTTTCCCAAATTGCATTTTTGTTGTGGTTGCAACAAATCTAGAAGTTGTGGCTTCTCTTGTTGTTAAAAAGTCTATGATGGCTTCAGGAAGCTAACTCATGAATATCATACATGCAATGACAGAATGGCAGAAAGTTGTTATTGACATTGAGATCAGACAAACTACTGACAGCTTTTCCAATAGGTTTCAAATATATATGCTCCATTGACATATACTGGGGATTATTAGTATAAGGTTCTACAGAGTGTGTCAACTGGCTTTTAACAGAAGAGAAAGCCAATGCTTCATGTGCTTATGTACAGTACACAGAGAAGCAACACTAAACCAATCCACAATTTGTTGGTCCTTTTAAGATGTCGGATAGGAATGATTCACTATGGAAGAGTAATAAAAGCATTATAAAACTTTTCACAGTAATTGTTTAAATACCTACAGTTGCCACTCCAAGGAGGGAAGCTTACAGCTGCCAAATATTGTGTGCTACCTACATTACTCATACTGATTTCAAAATAATTAAAACATTGGTGGCTGGGGAAGGGACAGGAAGTTATGCCAAAGCTTTCCGAAGATGAGGAGGTTCTTGACAGCAAGCTACATTTGTAAAAGATGTTTCAGAACTGGGCCAACTGAGTCACAGTTAATTTTCCTTCCTTTCACAAAACAGGATCATAATTTGACAAATAACAAAACGAATACTGAAAGCTGTGTGAGGTTTTCCTTTAGGTCCCAGAAAGAAAGAGAGAGAGAGAGAGAGAGAGAGAGAGAGAGAGAGAGAGAGAGAGAAAGAAAGAAAGAAAGAAAAGGAAGTAAGGCCTCCATTTAGGGGCCAGAAGCGTCCCAAATGGCTTAAAGATTTCAATAAGGCACATATTTTTTTAACTAAGATACCAACGGGCAATTTCCTAAAATTAAGAAACCAGTACACAAAGTGTACATAAAGTACATCTGCTTCCAAAACTCAGCTGCTTTAGTCTTTACTGGAGTTGTGTGTTTGTACTGGTGTGACTTCATGTCAGTATTGACTCCTTGTCCAATTGCTGGACAAGGAGTCCTTGCAGTTTTCTTCTAATCCCTCAAAAGACATAAAATGTTGCCTTAGGTCTCTTTAAAAGGATCCCTCCCGGACCTTGAAAATTAAGGTGACCGCTCAGCACTTTGCACACGCCCAGCAGCGCTCTTTCCAAGGACCCGGGTGCGTGTCTCCAGATCGCACCCCACCAGGCTGGCTTTGCTTCCCCCTTGTTGCCAGGGATGCCGGAGAGGTCACCGGCGGCCACTCACCTCGCCCCCTGCGCGGCTGCGGCTCCAAGCTCCGCCACGCCAAGAGCCCCAGCTCCCGGTCTAAGGTGACCTCCTGGGCGCGCTGCTCCAGCACCAGCAAGGAGATGAGCTGGGTCCCCCGGCCAGCCGGAATGGACCGCTCGCCCATGGCTCTTCAGCGACCCGGCGTCCTTGGCTTAGGCGACATGATTGTGGTGGTGGCGGTGGCGGGGGGGCCCCGCTCAGTCCGGGGCTGGGCGAGCGCTGCCGTCGCCACGGGGCGGCCGGGTAAGTCCGCCCGTCGGATGTTTCAGAATCTGTTATCCTTCAGAATTTGCAGGTCCGAGCGCAGGGAGCATGCGCGAGAAGGACTTGCGCACGCTCAGCAGCGGCGGCGGAGGCCGAGCCGCGGTTCTCTTACCGCGGCGGCCGCCTTTGCTGCTCAGCTTAGCGCGGCCGGCGGAACTCTGGCTGGGGAGAGGATACCGTTAAGGGCGGGTGGATCGGCCTTGCCTGATTCCTCCGCTCCTCCTCCTCCTCCTCCTCCTGGGGCTGGAGCTGAGCTTGCTCCTTCTGCAAAGCTGCCCCGCGCTAGGGTGGGAAAAAGCGGGCTGCCGCCGCCGCCGCCGCCCTCCTGCCAAGTGGGCGGTTGTAAGACGCCGAGCCAAGTTGGCTCTTGGCAATGAAGTGCCACGCCAGCGACCCCTTAAGCGCTCTGGGAAGAAGCGCCCTCGGGCTGGCGAGACGCGTTTCGCTTCCTTGCCCTTTAGAAAAGATTGGACAGGCGATTTGTCTGAAATGGCATCTCCTGTTCGAGCAGGGGTTGGACTAGAAGACCTCCAAGGTCCCTTCCAACTCTGGTTATTCTTCTGTTTTATATGCGACCTCTCACTCGGCTGGCTTCTTCGTCCGGCCGTCGAGAATCGGTCCCTTAAAACCGGCTTCTCTGTCGGCTGGGTTTTTGTTTTTGTTTTAAATCGCAGATCCACCCTCGGAGATCGCAGCCTCCTCCCTCATCTTAAGTCCCGAGAAAACAAGTTGAAAGATGATCTTAACTTTTTGCTCCGGCCTTTCTTTCACACTCCTGGCTCTGACGGATGCGGAGGATGTTATGGAAAACGGCAAAAATGGGCACCTTTTCAGAGTTGCTCCAGATTTGCTTCCTTTAGCTGTTCAAGGAAGCTGGCAGATGAGACCGAAGCAGAAGCTTGCCCCTGACCATGTTTTTATTTTTATTTTATGTATTTGTCAAGCAAGTACTAGACAAAATGTCCTTACAGTGATCAAGGGAAATTGTGGTTGGCAGACAGATGTTAAAAATAGATGCCCCAAAGCCTGATTTTGTAAAATGGGAATACAATATGATAGTGTGTTTGTGTTAGCAAATTAGAAAATAAGTTTATCATAATTAGTAACTATCCTGTTTCTCCAACAATACGGCCTCCACCAATAGGAAGGCCAATCATGATTTCTAGGCATGAGCTGAAATTAAGCCCTGCCCCCCAAATTTAGGCCTATTTAATCCACGAGTTTCCCGCCATTTCTCACATTGTTCATTAAAACTACACAACGTGAAGAGAAATGGGGGGAATGGGGAGAAAACTTGCCGTTAGGAGTGCCCTGCACGTAGTATACCCAATCTACTACCGATAGAACATCGGCCGATAGAGCTCCCCGAAGGCAGAATCACCAGCCGCTTCTATTGGCCGGTAGAAGCGGCCTCGGGGTGAACGCCCATGCGCACTCCCCTCGCCACAAATCCGTTTCTATTGGCTGATGGAAGCTCCCCGAAGGCAGAGACACCAGCCGCTTCTATCGGCCAGTAGAAGCAGCCTCAGGGCTAGTGCCTCACGCACACTCCCTTTGCCACAAACCCGCTTCTACCAGCTGATAGAAGCAGCTGGTGACTCTGCCTTCGGGGAGCTTCCATCAGCCAATAGAAACGGCTTTGTGGCGAGGGGAGTGCGTGTGGGCGCTCACCCTGAAGCTGCTTCTACCGGCTGATAGATTTCCTCCCCCATGCGCACCCCCACCTAGAGCGGCCCATGCGCACTCAACTCTCCACGAGGCCACTTCTTTTTTTTTTTTTTATAAAACAATTTATTAGTTTTAACAGTTAAAAACAGCGAACAATACATATACAAATAAATGAGAGGAAAAAAAAAGAAAGTAGAAAAGAAAGAAAAGAAAAGATTGAAAAGAAAGGAAAAAGAAAGAAAAAGAAAGAAGGAAAATTAAAAACATTCTTATTTATTTTACAATTTGCAAGATTTTTTTTTATAGCCTTTGATTTATGTCATATATACACCTATTCTATACATATATCACTATCTCATTATTATCAGTTAAAACTTTCCTCTTATGCCTTATGATATATAATTTATCTATGATTAATCCAATTATACCAACAATTCCAACTATCATAATATTGTGAAGTATCTTTGTTTTTTAGTGCCAGAGTCAGTTTGTCCATTTCTGCGCATTTTGAAATTTTATCAATAATCACTTCATCTGATGGAATTTGATGTTGTTTCCAGTATTGTGCAAAGGCTAATCTGGCCGCAGTTAATATATGTATTGTTATATATTTAGCTTTTTTGGAAATTTGTTTGTCAAAGATCCCTAGTAGGAAGGACTCTGGTTTATACTCGATCTGCTCTTTTGTAATTTCTTCCAACCAAGTTTGAATTTTCTTCCAATAATTTTGGGTTTCTGTGCATGTCCACCACATATGGAAAAAGGTTCCTTCTTTTTTCTTAACATTTCCAACAATACGGACTCATGTTGGGTTGCATCTTCGCTAGCCTCGAAGGAGGGAGATGCCATCTATAAAACATTTTATAAAGATTTTCCTTGTATGCTACCGATTTTGTGATCTTATTATTCCTGCCCCAAACTTTTTCCCATTCTGCTAGTGTAATACTACGTCCTACATTCCGACTCCACGCAATCATATTCCCTTTTACAATTTCTTCTTCTAATTCTGTTTCTAGTAAATAATTGTAAAATTTTGTTATGCTTTTTTTGTCCGGTCCTAATAAAATCTTATCTAATTGTTGAAGTTTGTTGTTAATTCCAAATTCTTTCTTATCTTGTTTGTACCTACTTTGAATCTGAAGATAAACCCATTGATCAATTTTTAGTCCCTGGTCCTGAATTTCCTGCCTCGATTTCAAATTTCCTTGTGAGTCCAATAAGTCTTTATATTTAATTATTTTAGTAATTTCCAAATTGTTTGGGTAAATCATCGCCTCCATTGTTGAAATCCATATTGGTATTTTTATGTAATGTTTTTTCCGAATTTTCTTCCAAATTGTTAGTAGCGCGTCTCTAATTAAATGTCTATGAAAATATTTTTGACTGGTTTTCCCTATATCCCATAAGAATGCGTGCCAATATTTTTGACTGGTTTTCCCTATATCCCATAAGAATGCGTGCCACCCCCTTTGTAAGTCGTGGCCTTCTAGAAATAATATTCTTTTATTAGTTAACTTCACCCAGTCCTTCAACCAAACTAATGAGGTGGCCATATAATATAACTCCCAGTTTGGGACTGCTAACCCTCCTCTGCTCTTTGTATCTTGCATTGCTTTAACATTTATTCTGGGTTTTTTCCCTTGCCAAATAAATTTGAAGGTTGTTTTGTTGAGTTCTTCGAAGAACTTTTTGTGTAATTTAATTGGAATCGTTTGGAATAAATATAGAAATTTGGGGAGAATGTTCATTTTAATGGTGGCAATCCGGCCTAATAGTGAAATTTGAAGTTTACTCCATGATTCTAAATCTTTCTTTACCTGATGTAACAATTTGTCATAATTATTTTCTTTAAGTGACTTACAGTGTAGTGTTAACCAAATTCCTAGATATTTCACTTTCTTTGTCACTTGTATTTCCATTGTTCCTTCTAATTCTATTTTCTGTTTTTCTGTTAAATTTTTGGTCATTAATTTAGTTTTTTTCTTATTTATTTTAAGTCCTGCTACTGCTCCAAAATTCTCCAGTTCTTTCATCAATTTTAGTCCCCTATCTATTGGTTCTTCAATAAAGAAGATCATATCGTCCGCAAATGCTTGCAATTTAAATTCCTCTTTCTTAACCGTTAATCCCTTTATATCTGAATTTTGCCTAATTCGCGTTAATAATGTTTCTAATGATAATATGAAGAGCAGTGGGGATAGTGGGCAGCCCTGTCTCACTCCTTTTTCTATCTTTATTGGGCGGGTGTGTTCCCCGTTTATTATTATATTAGCTTGTTGTGTGTCATAGATAGTTGTTATAATATTTTCAAATTTGGTACCCAGATTCAAATTATAAATTTTTTGAATTAAAAATTGCCAGTTCAGATTATCAAAAGCTTTCTCTGCATCTAAAAACATGAGTGCTACTTGTCTCTCAGGGTGGGCTTCATAAAATTCTAGTACATCTAATACTATTCTTAGATTATTCTTTATTTGCCTAGCTGGGAGGAATCTGTTTTGATCTTCATGTATATAAAAGTTTAGCAGTCTTTTTAATCTGTTTGCTATAATAGAAGTAAATATTTTATAATCAGTATTTAGAAGTGAAATCGGCCTATAATTGTTTATATATCTAGGATCTGTATCCTCCTTCAAGATCAACAAAATCAACGCCCCCCTCCATAAGTCCGGCATCCTGGCTGCTAGTAAAACATCATTAAAAACTTCCAACATAAATGGTCCAATTTGTTCTACTATACCCTTATAGAGCTCCCCTGGGATTCCATCTGGGCCTGGAGTTTTGTTATTTTTCTGGTTATCTATTGCTGATTTCAATTCCGATTCAGTAATGTCTTTATTTAATAGTTCTGCCATTTCTTCCCCAATTACCTTATCTTTAACTTCATCTAAATAATTCCTTATTCTATCTTCACTAACCTCTTCTTTTCTGTATAAATCTTCAAAGTATTTATGAATGATTTCTTTTTTCTGTTCTATTTCCTGGTATATATCTCCCTTGCTATCTATTAACTGATATATCATTCTCTTTTCTTTCTTTCTTTTTAATTTATAAGATAGCCATCTTCCTGGCTTATTGGCATGTTCAAAATAGGTTTGTCTGGTCAAATTCAAATTTGTAATCATTTTCTCTTGTTCGATTAAATTCAATTTATGTTTAGCTATATTTATCTGATTTTGCAGTTTTGTATCTTTTGGAGTATTCTGTAGTAGAGTTTCTAGCTCCTTAATTCTTTGTTGTAGATTATTTTGCTGGGAATATTTTTCTTTATTTCTCTTGGCATTATAAGAGATTGTTATACCTCTTATTACCGCCTTCATTGTATCCCATATATTTTGTTTTGTAGTTTCTCCATTGTCGTTTTCTTTTATAAAAAAAATTAATTCCTCCTTTAATTTATTGATGTATTCTTTCTCTTTTATTAATTGAGTGTTTAATGTCCACCTTTTCTTTGGTTTTGCCCTACCCTTCCATATTATCTGTATTGGGTTGTGGTCTGCCCATTCATTGGGCAAAATTTCCACTTCTTTTATTTCGTTTGCTATTTCCCCATTCATCCATGCCATATCTATCCGTGTCCATGTTTGGTGGGGTTTTGAATAGAATGTAAACTGTTTTTCCTCAAGATGTAGTCTTCTCCATATATCTGTCAAATTTAACTCTTTCATCATTTCCCTGCAAATCTTAGGGAGTTCTCTTTTCCCCTTTTTATTTTTCCCGCCATTGCTGTGGTCTTTTTGATATTTAACAATAGAATTGAAGTCCCCTATAATAAGGATGTTTTTTTGTTGCAATTCAACCATTTTTCCATATAGGTGTTTAAAAAACTCTTTTTGGTCCCCATTCGGGGCATAAATTACTACTAAAAGAATTGGGATGTCATTGATCCAGATCTGCAAAACCAGAGTCCTTCCTTCCGAATCCGAGGCCACTTCTACCAGCTGATAGATGCGGCTGGTGACTCTGCCTTAGAAGTGGTCTTGTGGAGAGGTGACTGCGCATGGGGCACTCTAGGATGGTGTGTGGGGGGGGGAGGTCACCCCCGAAAAGATGTCCTAAGCCATTTTTTCAGGGCTATATAGATAGATAGATAAATTTTTTAAAAACGTCTGTGTTGAAATGGTAC